AGAAAGCTTAGACTTCACACTTTTTTCTTTTGGCGCAACGAAACTCCGATTGAAATCATCAAATTCTAGGCGTTTCTTAATACTTATTCTAAAATAGAAAAATTTCTTAAAAATCAATGATCCTTGTAGCTTTATGAAAGAGTTTCTTTTCTGTTTCTTTACCATGATAGCTGAAATCTTAGAGATATGTGTATATGAAACTTTCGATAATATTTATTTTTAATTTCTTTTCTTTCAAGTTTTCAAACGTCATTTAGAACACCTTTTAACTATAATTACTCAATAAAAATATACGAGAAATAAGTTTTAAATGCGTACAATTCTCTAGTAAAAATATCATGACTACCATTTCAAATTTACATTCTTTATCAAATATTCACCTTGATTCATCAGATCAATCACCCTCAAGAATCAGTTTATGTGTAACAGGAAAATAATAATCGTTGCAGTAATCGTTGCCGTCGTCATCATAGTTGGCTTGATAATTGGTTTGGCTGTTATTGCAAGCAGTAAAAACAGACAAACATTCGCAGATGACATGACGTTTGGACCTCAGAGTAAGTTGCCATTCTATTATGATGTACGTGAACTTTGTTCCCACTTCTATATTGCGCAGCAACAACGCCTTTTACAGCTTTGACTTCAAACACTAGCACCACAAGCAGTACTTTAACATGTATGTGAATTTATTGATCTAAAAATCAAAACACTAATCACAGTTACCACTTTATCTAGTCATCTGGAATCCAGATCCAGAAATAATCGCAGGTGGTAACGGAGACGGTAGCAGATCGGATCAGTTGAGCTTTCCTTACGGATACTATATCACAAAAAGTGGATATGTTTACGCATGTGATTGCGGTAACAACAGGATACAACGATATGCAGCAAATGCGCTCGCGGGTGAAACAGTTGTAGGCGGGCAAAGTTCAGAATCCGCTCAATTGGATTGTCCAACAAGTGTTTATGTGGATGAAAATCAAGGCTTGTATGTACTGGACACACACAAATATCGTGTTCTTTATTGGCCATATAATTCGACAAATTGGACAAGGATATACGGCGGTCGAAATGGTAATATGACAAATCAGTTATATGCCAATCAAATAGGCCTTAGTTATAGTATGACATTTGACAGCAGCAATCGTAGCTTTTATTTAGCGGAATCTTACGCAAATATTCGTTCGCGAGTGACAAAATGGATAGTGAACGGCACATCAGGGGTTGTTGTTGCCGGATTTTATGGTCAAGGGGCCGGCTCTAATGAACTAAATAATCCCTATGGCACTTTTATAGATGAGAACGGTACACTTTTTGTAGCTGATACATATAACCATCGAGTGCAAAAATGGCCCAAAAACACCGTAAGTGCAACTACAATTGCCGGCGGACAGAGAGCAGGCACAAATGCTTCTCAACTAAGCTTGCCGACGTCAGTTGCCCTCGATAAATACGGCAATTTATATGTTCTCGACGCCGGGAATTCACGGGGGTTTTAACAAATCAGACAATGCTTTGTGCTTTTAGTAATCTTTCTTTCTCTGTCAACATCAACTTTTAAGCCGAATTTTTGAATATACTTTGTCATCACAAATGGAACAAAAGCACAAAATTCAGAAATAAAGCTCAACTGATTCTAGAAATTGAAGAATAACAGCAGAATATTTGAATTTCGGAGTCATTGTGACCGTCAAGAACACTCCTACTCTTTTCTAGTAAAAAAAATTCGATTTTTGATTTTTGACTGATTTACATACTTTGATGTATCCCATTTCAAATCATAATAGTACTAGAATATGAAACAGACAGAAAAGGGTTTTCTAGGGAGTCTGCAAAAATTGTCTTTGAATTTAGGTCAATTTTCTACTTTTTCTTGATGAAATGAGTACGTATAAAGGTTACGTTCTCTTTAGGCTATCGATCATGTTTTATCCGTTGAGCATATGTAGAGACATGTACCGCATATGCGGACAAGTTTCAATGATTTTTTCTCGTTTACATAATAATAGCATTACGAAATTAGTTTTGTTTATGAGGTAGCAAATAACTCATCATAGTTTCTGATTGGCAGTTTCGAAGGACTCAAAATTCATAGGTAGAATGTATTTTCAGTATTATTTGATGAATATTTATTTACGGTATAACAATGTTAACTAAGCTAAGTTTTAATAGAAGAGCGGGCTAGAAGTAATCTTTAACAAATTCCGTTTTCAATTTTGATCCCAATTAATGGTTGGATAAAGAAAATTCTGTTTTACTGATATATCAGATTCAATCAGTGAGTTTTTGTAGTGCAGGTCGTATCACTATCAGATGGTTAATGCTTTTAACCTAACGCCGAGGGCATTTTATTTTTCTTTTCGTTTTAACATTCCGTTATTTTCATACATGTACTCGAAGTATCGGTTGTTTTCTATCATGTACGCGATAAAGCGCAGAACCACCAACGATAATTGCACGCGAATTATACATACATTTTAATAAATTTGTATGCGATAGCACTCAAAACGTTTGAGTAGTGTACGCGATGAGACAAACGTTTTTTGTATGCATCCTAACTAACGGAATGTCTTTGTCTATTTTGCTGTTTTTCCATGGTGCTACCCACAATGGGTTAGTCACCTTTCACTTTGCGAATGAAATAATAATAATGTTAACCACATCATTATCTGCTGTTGAATTTAATCGTCCATCATAAAGTGAGACACAGCGTTTACTGATGACCATACGGCTTGGCAAAGTAACTCGGTTACCGCAATGTCGGACATTATGGAACGCTATGGAATAGCATTTTTTCTGCATTTTATTCATAGTTTCCGAACAAAAGCTGATCCAGAACTCTGCAACATCTTAAAGTGTAGGAAAAAGTGTGTTGAACATTTTGAGATGTTTCCATACTGTACATGATCTTTCGTTCAAAAGCTGAGATAAAACTATAAACACCTGGTTTTCAAAACTCATCCGAAAAAGTAGGTGTTTGCAGTTTTCTCTCAACTTTTGAACGAAAGACCATGTACAGTACGGAAACATCTCAAAATATTCAACACACTTTTCTCTTCGCTTTGAGAGGTTGCAGAGTTCTGGAGCTGCTTTTGTTCGAAAACTATGAAAGAGACAAAATGCAAAAAAATGTTACGAAAGGACATTGCGATAGCCGAGCTGCTTGGCCAAACCGTATAATGACTTGTCCTAAGCATATTCTATACTTGGTTATGTTGAATGACAATTGATAGAATTGTTGGTTTAATATGGAAACGCCATGGTAGCGTTCAAAAATCAAAGATCCTGAAATATTTGGAATAAAACAAATTGATTTTCTTGTTGACGTTACAAAAAATTTTAGTGGTGCAATAATAAAAACTCTAAATTCAACAATTGTCTCATTAGTGAGATGTCTAAAAGGAAATAGTAATAACGGTAGTACCACCGATGTCAATATAGCATTTTTATTAGAAGTAACTGATCTTGTTGCATCGTTTGATATTAGCATGCTACGAAAAATATGTCGCTTAAATCTGGCAATGTTTTAATGGTGATGACAAACAACAAAAATATTCTTTAACATTGACAAATTTTACAATCAACTGCAAAAGTACTTATTGATTTATACGATGAATTGAATTAATAAATGATTCAACAATTGAAATATTACTAGGCCAAAATGAAACATTGCATGATTTATTCATGGTTGTTCCACTAGGAATATTTGTACTATTCAAGGAAATCAAGGAAATTTTTTATCTGTACACAATGCTTTCAATGATAAATAACTATTTGACACACACACATAAAATAATAAGAAAGAAACAACAATAAACCGAAAATGAAAAAAAAGGAAAGAGCTAATGATAAATCAGAAAAGTCCTACTGACTAGACTAACAACTAAGAACAACAAGAAGGCATAAAAGTATAATCGGAGGTGATTCGTCAAGTTACTTTTAACCTTTTTCACGTTTGGTTTAGATGCTAAGTCATTCGGAAACAAGTTATATTTTTTAGAAGTGTTCCAGAAAAAGGACGAGAAAAGTACTTACACGGTATCTGTAGAAGTTAAACCCAAGCAAAAAAATGCCTTTGAGATTACCTAGCTATAAAAATATGTTATCGGGCAATATCGGCTTGTGATAGCTAGCTATCCGTACCACTTTTATTGAGTTAGCTAGCT